AAAAAGAGGGACTACAAATCTGCTAGTAGGGTCCCTACAGATAAGAAATCACCAATCTGCTCTAAACACATATCTGTATTAGAAAGAAAGGCTGTGGAAATGATCTTTCAAGGGTTGTTTTTTTTTCTGGCTTGTAAATTGTTAAAGCAACGTAAAAGGTCATGCACATGTGCAATGAGAATACTTCTGAAAGTAAATTTATGTCTGTTTGATGTCGACTACTTCTGCACTTTTGTCCTTGTGAAACTGCTGAATTCTCTGGGGTTATACAAGTCTGTCTGCACAGCACGATCACAAGCTGAGCAGAGACAAACATTTCCAGCTACCTTCAACTTCTTCAACAGAATTGAAAGACGATTACGGGATGCAACATGAATAATATGATGGGCCACATTTAATAGGAAGGGGGAGGTGTGTTTACCAAACATGCCACTGATATACTCTAAACATCCTGTAAACTTGTCCCTGAAATCTAAAGGATAAAACTCAGGCAGTGAGAATCTGTCACTGACGCTGCTTTTGGAAGTTTCAGCAACAAACATATGTTGAGCTTTGGTAGATCACGACTTTAACTGTTAGTCAACATTCAGAGCAAACACTGTGTAACTGCCCTGCACACGCCCACACAAACCAGAGCAGTCACATACCTACAGTACAAGACAGTACAATGTTTTTCTATATTGTTTCCATGGTGTCATTGTCCTAAGATTATGCTAATCTATATTCAATCACATATTTAAGTTTATGTTCTTATTATGTTTGTCCAATCTCTGTGACTAATAAAGATTTACTATCTTTTCTTTTCTTATCTTAATAGGTTTCACACTTGGCAGCCAGAACTGCAAAAAAGCGTTTATGATGACCTTAAACAGCCAGTCTGACGGGATTAAAGCAAGACGCCAAAGGTCAGTGGGCCACAATTTCCCCACGGTGACGTGAAACACTCACTGCCACTCATCGAAGCAAAACGCACTTCCTGTTTTTACCTTTTAATTCTTTCGACAAATGCAAACATCTGCTCACTGAAGTCGACGCCTTTAGCACATAATAGATGACCGAAGATCACACTCATGTTAGCAGCATTAACACAGAACCAGCAGGGACACACCTTTAAAGCCTTAAAGCCCGACTTCACAGTCGTCGCTTTTAAACGCATTAAGATCGTTATCTCTGTTTCTCAGATATACCGACTTCCCTTTTCGAAACATAGCGCTGTAGTCTCGCAATTATGGGATGTTTTATGGTCTTATAAATTGTCTTTTTTTCTTTTTTCTCACAGACCAATCAGGAGATTATTTTTTTGTCCTTTTATCCTTTTTGTCCCCTCCTTTTTTTTTACACTCCTTTTTCTTGCGCTTCTGTAAAGTTACTTTGTCACGCCTCAATAAAAGCCTACGCTTTCCGTGAATCAACTGAAGTACGAAGAAACCTTAAAAACCTGACTATTCAGACAACTTCTGCTACCTGAACGGGCTCGTTTTGACCGAGCAGCTGCTGCACGGAGATCGTCCCCGGCAGCTTTTATAACAAATATATTAATGTCTGGTTTGGAAACTGGAGCGTGGAAAAGCCATCTACACCCGAAACACTCTTGTACGGTCGCCTTTATCCAAATCCTACCTGTGCAAGAGGAGTGTGCGGCGACGAGCAGCAAGAGCACAGAGATACTCATGGATGAAACACAGAAAAAGTGACCCAGTGGATCCACGGGATTTAAAAAAGGAAAAAAGGTCCCGAACTTTCTTAAACTCTTTCGTACATCCTCTCCGGGGAAGAGCCTGAAGCAAAATGACGAACTACAGTTTGGCTAAAAAGGAAACTGGTGTCAAGCCAGCCTCCAATTCGAGACTTGCAGTCAAGCCAGCCT